AAGGAAGATTGTTCTTTTGGTTTAGAATATTGATTTGATAGTGTGATTTGATGCTGTTGGTGCCCAAAGCTTTTGGATTGATACATTGAACAGCTAGAAACATGTTATACATTCAGGACAGCTACAAATTATTTAAAGGAAAATAAAATGTGAAACAATAGATAATTCTGTAGTAGTAGTCTATATATTTAAATAGGTTAAGTCTGTTGCTGACAGTCTATATCAGAAGAAAGGAGAGGCTTCTCTCCTTTTTTTTTTTTTTTTTTTTTTTTATTTCAACCCAGGGAAGGTAGGTTTCCCAACAACCAGGCTAAATCACCTTGGACTGCCTTAGTCAGTCACTGCTATTAACAGTAAAATGAAAGGTAAATTCTTTGACATCATTGGAACATGTTTATAAAATAATTTTCTTAACAGAAATACAGGCACTCTGAATTTTTGGTACTGGTTAAAGACAGCAATCAAAAGACAGACAAAACAGTATATAATCAAAATAATTACAAGCGTTTTGTTTCCTTTTTCCTGCCTGAACAGAAACTTTCCACCAATATGGAATCTTTCAAATGATTTGTGGAGGTACACTACTTCTTTAAATTAAAAAAACGATAGTTTTAAAAATTAATGTTCTAAATAATGTATTTTCTCTCACATATTTCTTATTATTTGATATCTGCACTGATAGTGGGCAGTGATGCCACAAAACCCTCCTTATTATGAACATTAACAAAAAACAGTGGTATGTCGGGACACTGTGTTGCTGCAGTGACTATAGCTACAGACACTAGGTGATGAAAAGGTGTTCCGAATTAAGCTTTTACCCTGACCTGTGAATCCTTGACATCTTGGATTTTGAGATGCAATTTCCAAATTACAGAGCGTTATCTGCAGTATTTAGTTACAGTAGCTTGAGTATCTTTGAAGTTTAAACTGAAAACTTTAGTTTGTGTTAAAGAATATATTTTCAATACCAAAGGATCTTTAAATGTGTTGAAAGAAGTTATAGGTGACTGTGTGAAAGGTACCTGCAGTTATTTTAAATAAGTTCATGTAATCTTATATGGCTTATATATTGGTATAATACAATTGCGTTATTATGCTGAGACTTTAGCACATTTTTGAGGAAGTCCTTGTTGCTATTTGTAATTCAGAGAACAAGATGAGCTTTAGTGCCAGCATGTTGAGTTGATATCATGTAGGTTAGGAAGCTTCAGACAATAGTTAGCCAGGTGCATACTGGAGGCAGGAGAAAATACCTGTTTTGAGAAGCTTTTTCTTGCATAATAACTTTGCCTGATACCTTTGAAGAAACAATTAGTTTGAATAGATTACAAACTAATGAAGAATTAGTTTGTATGGATTCTTAGGAGTTCAGGTAAAAAATAGCTTTCCGGAATGTTCAACTTTTTGCCTAGTAACCTGTTCCTTAGAGCAAAAGACATAGTAATTGGCAGAAAAAAAGATTTTTCATGCACCTTTGCTTTACAGCACTACCACTGTGGTCTGGGCTGGAGGAGGAGTATAGTTGTTGGGGGTTTAGGAGTGTGCTTAGGGGATGGACTTGGTTTTTGCTCAGCCTTCCAGGCCCTTTGCCTCTTCTGCACCCACATCTGGCTTGTAAGCAACAGAAGAAAAGCCAGAAGAAAGCGTGATAAGAACAAAAACATTATGCCTTGAACTTTCTTGTGTTTTTCTTCCTGATACATTGCTAAATTCCTCATGCTATGCTGATGAAGTCCATTCGGGATGATCTCTGTATAATGTTAGTGTATGCCTTACGAACTAGGGTCAGTAAGATGTTGACTGGCTGACGAGTAATATACTATTTATATAATGGTGTAAAAAGACATCATAAAGTAGCCTATGTATTGGACATTCTGAGAGAAAGAAATAATTGAAATTGAAAGAAATAATAATAAATAAATTAACTCAATTTCTGAAACATGAATAACATCAATAATATTCTTTTAATTTTGGCTTTCGCTGCTTCTAAATAATCCTTTGTTCAATGAATTTGTAACACGACTGGTCTTTTCAGGAAAGCATTCATATTTTACTCATTAATCAAAACTGTCTTTCAATAACTGCATAATGTTAGCACACTGAGCTACTTGTTTATTTTTCTAACTGGGGCACGCAGCTTGAGTTATATTAATATTACTGTTGTAGGAGTATTTCTTTTCATGCTGCATGAATTATTGCTATTAAAACCAAAAGCAAGCTAATATCATGCCACTAACTCCGAAGGAAGCCTTCTTTGCCTTCATTTATTTCATTCCTTTTGTTCTGATGAGACACTGTATCTGAGATTGACTTCTTTACAGTTAGGAACAATAATTTTTCATATTAAAGTACATGTGAAAGTATGCCTGTGCTTAGTAAAGAAAAAATTAGTCTGTCCACTAAATCCAATGTTCTTTGTTACTGTTGGTCCTGTTTCATCAGCTTCCAGTGTTACAATTCAGCTGACCCCAAAAAGTCTAAGTGTATCTTCTGGCAGTTTGGCAGCAGCAGGGGGAGCAGTGTAGCTTTATTTGGGGGCTCTGCTCTCTCCTTGACCAATACTAGAGTTAGTTGATTATCAGTCCAGAACAGTAGTAGTCAGTCTCAAAACTTAGCTCGCATAAGGAAATCTTCCACTTCTCTCTGTAGCTGAGCTAAAAACATTATTCTGCACGCTTCATCTTGCTGTACCAACTTGGCCATGAAATAATTTTTCTTGACCCACGAATGCAAAAACACACCTGCTAAGGGACAGTTTTCAGCAGTGTGCACTTATGGCCAAGAAGGCCAATGGTATCCTGGGCTGCATTAGGAAGACAGTTGCCAGCAGGTCAAGGGACGTGATCTTCCCCCTCTACTCAGCCCTGGTGAGGCCTCACCTGCAGTACTGTGCCCAGTTCTGGGCTCCCCAGTACAAGAGAGACAAGAAACTACTGGAGCGAGTGCAGTGAAGGGCTACAAAGACGATGAAGGGACTGGAGCATCTCTCCTATGAGGGAAGGCTGAGGGAGCTGAGACTGTTCAGCCTGGAAAAGACAGGACTCAGGAGGGATCTGATCAATGTGTATAAGTATCTGAAGGGAAAGCATCAAGAGGATGGGCCTAGACTCTTCTCAGTGGTGCCCAGCGATAGGACAAGAGGCACTGGGCACAAACTGAAATCCAGGCAGTTCTGTCTGAACACGAGGAAAAACTTCTTTCCTGTGAGGGTGACTGAGCACTGGTGCACGTTGCCCAGAGAGGTTGTGGAGTCGCCTTCCCTGGAGATACTCAAAAGCCATCTGGCCACAATCCTGGGCAACATGTTCTAGGTGACCCTTCCTGAGCCCAGGGCTGGAGGGGTGGTTGGGCTAGATGATCTCCAGAGGTCCCTTCCAACCTCAACTGTTCTGTGATCTTTTCTGTACTGGGGCCTATGTGGACACAGCACATGTCTTCATGTGGTCTAGCAAGTGTCGGTGAAGGGGGATAGTCTCTTCCCTAGATCTACTGGCTGCGCTCCCACTGATATGGTTCAGGACGCTATTAGCCTCTGCTGCTGCCCAGACGCACTGCTGGCTCATGTTTAGCCTTCTCTCTACCAGTACCCTCAGATCCTTTACGGGAATTGTTGAATTTTATGAGGTTCCTGTTGTCCCATTCCTCCAGCCTATTTGAGTAACTCTGCATGGCACCTGTGCCCTCGAGGATGTTCATTGCACCCTCTATTTTGGTATTGTCTTCAAGCTTGACAAGGGCATGTTCCATCTCCTCCAGTCCAGAATAAAGGTATTAAACAGGCTAGATCCCATGGTAAACCCCTGAGGAACTTGCCTTGTATCCAGCCTCCAAGTAGAGTACCAACCATTAGCTACTAACCCCAGGGCTTTATCAGGGGATCTATCCTTTGAGCCTGGTGACCCAGCCAGTTTTTCATTCATCTAGTAGTCCACACATCTGGGCTGTAATGTCCCGACATGGATACAAGGATTTGGTCAAAATTCATGTCAATTCCTTCTTAAAACTTTGTAATGCTTTTGAGTTGTTTCCCTTTTATATAATGCCTTGAAACTTGCAGGCAGACTCAAGAGTTGCTAAAATGGTGCTATACATTGTTTGACTTTCCATGGGATGGCACCTTGAATGTATTTGGTTCATCTAAACTAACTACTGATAACCATTATCAGCAGCACATCATTTTAACAGTGTAGTGATTATTGAGTGCCTTTACAGATGATGATCTTATAACGTGCTTTGATGTCTTGCTTCGTTGCCTAAATATTCTATAAAATTCTATAAAAATATATTGAAAAACTCTATAAAACATTTATTTATCTACTGTTTTATTTCTTTCATAGATTTCTTGCTGGAGCCCATGGTCAAGTGTTTCACTACATGTGTTTGGTCTATGACACACAAAAAATGAGAACATTTAATCACATTTTATTTAGTAAGATGATTGCCTTACCTGTGTATCATTGTATTGTGGCAAACAACTTGGACTTTCTTTGTTTAGGGAAAGTTTAGGGAAAAAAGTAAGTGTAAACATCAAATTTACAAAATGTGATCAAGAAGTCCAGGGTGGAAAGCAAATAGTATGGTATTGTATATGTGTACTCATAATATCTTAAGCAGAAAATGATTTTAAAATTTAGTTATGGTGCAGTCTAGCATCATGTTGGTCAAATCCAGGTTCGTGGATTTTCTGCAGCTTTATATTTTTATTCTTTTTATTTACAAATGTATTTAATCTTGTGCTGCACGTAGTATGTCACTATATTCCTACATGAATTTAAGAGAAAAATACTATTTTCCATGTATCTCCCTTGCTTTTCTCTAGACAAAAATATGTTAGAGTAATGTGTTACTGCCATTTAATCATAGTTGCGTTCCATTCTTTGTATTTGTTGAGTGAATTCCTTCTGTATATCCTAGAAATCAAAATGTTGTTTAGGTAAGTTACTGATATAATAAAATAAAACATTTACAATTATATTTGTATGCGTCTGTGTGTAGGAAGAAGACCAAGATCAGGATACCACAGATGGAAAGATTATTCGGTGGACATTTCTTTCTCTTTCCCAGATTAGTGCTTTGTCAGAAGAAAATATAGAAGGAGTTCAAAAGTAAGTGACAATGATAATAGTGCTAGAACTAAAACTAATTAGAACTAATTAGAAATAATAGTAAAATAAAAATTGTAGAGCATTTTTAGATTTCTATTATGATGGTTTTGATGGTGGTCCTTAGCTGATTGTCAGTTGAATCACTCATGATTTAAAAAATTTAATGAAAGATAGGATTTCTTGAAGAAATGCTTTTAGCTCAGGATCTTGCTAAAACATTTAATATTTGTAAAAATCTGTACTGTAACATGTAAGACTAAAAAATCAGAAAGTTTTTAAAATTTCAGGCAGGGATCTTTAAAGGAGGTATTAGTAGGTAGCCATTATGGTGCACTGGGGGGAAAAAAGAGGCAGCCCAGGATCTGTGAGGTGAGCCCATGTTGTCTTTCCTTTAGCAACACTGTCTTGTTATTGCAAGTAATAGTAGTAATAGTTAAGCTTAGGAGGCCAGGAATACAGCCTGAGACACTTAAATATGAAAACTCTAGACTTATATTTTAAGAATGGGACTTTCAGAAGTGCTGAATAAATTTGCTCCACTAGCAAATTCTTAGTGAATTGAAAGCCTCTTAACTGCTTTTGGGGAAAAAAAAAAAAAACCCAAAACAAACACTCTGTCCTTCAGAATAAATGAAATATTTAAGAGAAATTAAAATACTATTCCTGAAAAATATTCTGTTCCTCTTATTTGTTTTTATTTTGAGAAAAAAGTTCTTTGCCTGGAGAGGGAGTTCCTCCACATCAAATAATAAAAAGGTGAAAGAATTTTTTTCACTTACCCTTTCCTCTTCCTTGATAGGCCTCCCGCTAACAGAGATAGAAGCATAGAGCTCACTGAAGTCTAAAATTTGTTTAGTGACACAATTTCCTGTTAAACTTTCTCATCAATATTAAAAAGGAAAACATTGAAAGATCATATGTTTTTTCCTTAGTCTCAATTGATCACACATGTATTTATATATGTGTGTCTATGTATATACAGTGTTTATATATAAAAATATATATACATACACACACACTCTGCACAAATGGATCTTAAAGTATATACTACATCTGACTGAAAAGAGGATGTTTGCAGGGTATTTTATGCAGTATAAGCATTTTAGATCCATGAAATTTTGTTAGTTCACCACAGCACATCTTTTTTATACACAAGAACAGTTTGAAGGCTGTGGCTAGGGTTAGAAAACCAGAATAGATGATCTGATTCAGTAAGAGAATTTTAATGTCCTGTGCTCCCATAAGTCTTGAAGTTTTATACTGCTGTTCATCTCTGTACCACTCGAGCACCTTTGATGAAGGGGGAAATAGCAATCAAAGTAACGAAGAATTCTAAAGCACCCATCGTTTCCCACTCATTTATAGATACAGTAGTCGCTGGCATGCCTTACAGAATATTGAAAAGATGAGTACTGGCATTGTTAGCAGTACCAGAAAAATCTAAATCCTTTAGAAGTTCTGATTATGGAAGCACAGAGTTGGCAGAAGCTTCAGAAAGAGAGGATATGGACTATTTCAAACCGTGGAAAGTTCAGTTGGCCACATTCCATTTCTATTTCAGTACATAGTTAAGTGTCTTGCATTGTACAGCTGTACAAATTTGTCAGAACAGAGGAATACATGTTTTAAACATAACTGATTGGGTTATGCTTTTTATTTTGTTAGCTATTGAGCCTGTAATTAAAAAAAAAAAAAAAATCCCTCATCTTGTTTGGCGATCTATTTCTCTTGGTTTGGTGAAAATCCTAAAAAACTGACAACTGTCTGTCAATGGGTCTGAGATTATTGCTTTTTATTAGGAGGGAATGAGAAGCAGAAAAAAAAGTTTAGCTCTTTTGTAGGGGAGGAGAAACTGTGACCACAACTGGCACCCTTATCATCAGGTATAGTTAAGGAGCCATTTAATGCAAAATCTAACTACCTGAGACACAGCTGAAGTTATATTGCAGGAACTGCAAACTGCAGTCCTGGACCTGATCCCCTATAGTCTCTTCATGTAGAAAAGTTCATACAATAATAAAATACATGATTAGTTCTATGTTTGGAAAGAGCATAGGTAAATATGTTGGCAACGGCATGGTCTCCCTAAGGGGAATATATTTTTCTCTAATCATTGCTTTTTAAAGCTAGAGTAACTGAAAATTTTTCAGTGTGTGCCAATAAAATAAGATGAAACTCTCTCCTAAAAGTTGAAACCATTATGAAAGTGGAATTTAAACATCCAAATAATTTAGGTGTTTCAGTAATTTTATATTGTAGTATTTGCATGAATTTTCAAGTTAAATTTTTCTTCAGAGAGTACATGAAAAATAAATGTTAAACAGAACCAAGATCACTTTTTAATTCTGTAAACACGTATCAATGAGAGAGAAAGAATTGTCATGGGACTGATTGTCACATTTCGTTCTACAACCCCCTCCTTGAACCGATACTGATTTTTCTCTCGTTTTTTCAGTGCATTTCTCTTTGATTTTTGTATCTCTCTTATTTTTGTCAATTCATTGATCGTATTTTAACATTTAAATAGCACCTGTTGAAAAGCTGTAGGTGTGTGTTTATTTTTTCCAGCTGGCAGTTTGTCTTTAATCATGAACTCTTATATCTAGAAAATGATGTAGCTAAGTTCCAGGAATATATATACATATAATTGCAAGCAGGCTAAGTTAATCTTCGGAATTTGTAATTTTTTTTTTCATTTCAATATTTTTCTTATCTGCTATTTCTTGTTAGAAAGCTGGAAGAATTCCTGAATTTTAAACAATTAAAAACATCTTTGAAGGAAGCTATTTTGCTAGATTATTATGCCTCGGGATTTTGGTGGGCTAAAGAAATGAACTTCAGTCTTACACAGCTCACAGGATTCATGGGTCTGTTAAATTTCCTGTTGGAGAACCTCAGTGGTAAGTATAATTACAAAATAAAAATATCTGAAGTGGAAGGCAAGAATGTCTTCCAGTCGTTTTAATGAGATGGTTTTTAATTACAAGTAATTGTAATTATTTATTTTCCTCTTGGATGTTGGCATGCTATTACTTGTACCTGATAATAATTCTTATTGACTGACATTAAACTTTGGTTAGAGGGGAATGTAGTCTGTTTAGCAGAATTTTCCTTGTTCTTTGTACAATACATGGTGCGAGAGGGCAAGGCCCTGAATAGACCTTATCATGGCTGTGGTAAAAATAAATAATAATTACAGTAGAGTGAGAGCAGGGAACTCTTAAGTTCCAACGCCATTTCTGTCTGTGACTGACTCACTCTAGCCTTGGTCAAATTCCTCTGCTGTTTGAGACATTCAGTACATCCTGTAGCATTACAGCAAGTGAATTACATTTATTTTATCCTTAGAGGTCAACTCTTAGGCAGCTTTCTATATGCCAAATCCTGCACTTCTGGCACAAAACATATAGGTTAACTAAGGATTGGTGAAGGAAGTAAACTGGCATCACTGCCAAAGATGAAAAACAAAAATAAAAGGACTGTAGCTCCTGTGGCTCTGAAGAAATTTGCTGGAAAGTATATATCTTTGGTCTAGTGGGAACGAAATAGCTGTAAAAATTGTGGCAGCATCCTCTCAGAAGCGCTTGTCAGAGATCACAATGCTTACTTAACATTCACTTTGAAGGTGAGTATGTCAAGAAAAGTCCATCCTAGAGGAAGGATGAGAGGACTTGGTGGTTCCATTAAAAAGGAAAGATGAACGTTTGAAATCAAACTCTCAATAGAGGTTATATTTTTTTGTCTGATTTAATTCAAGGCCTTTTGACTTGGAATTTTGACAGAACTCGTATGTGCTTTATGATCAGTGGAATTCCAGTTGTTCTTCTTGCCTCCAGTGCAAAAGTATGTGCTAACTATGTTAGTGCAACAATGGAGAAGGTGGAAGCATGTCAGAAATCAGTTTTTTTAGACTATATGTAATGCTTATGTACTAGACAGGACGGTAGCACAACTGATTATTAAAGCTAACTGACATTTGTCAGAAACATGATCTTAGTTGCATAAAGCTTTGCCAAAGTTTAACTCTTTAAGCTGAAATTTTCCATGGCAGGGTCTACCTGACCTTAATTTTTACATATAAGTTTCAACTAAAACAGTTAAATGGGCTTCCAGACAGAAGCAATGGGAAAAAAAAATATTCTTTTGTGCATGTGAAATGATCCTGATGTGTTTTTTTTTAACAATTCTAATACCCCTATGCTTTAAAGTAAAGCAAGGGTTGTGAATTTGCTTTTTGCTGTCCTGTGAAAATCCATCAAATTTGGCTAGGATACATGGCTTTTAGAGAAAGAAGATGCAGTTTGTAAATGCTTACAAGAGATTTCCTAGATTTTTTTCACAGCTGCATTTCCCAAATAATCCATCTTGTAAGGTATGCTGTAGCCCAGGGCTGAGGTGACTTTCCTTGTAATTACTGTTCTCAAGCAGCAAGACCAAACATTGCAAGTAACAGCAAAAAGCTAATGTCTTCTA